GACTATGGACAGAAACAGAGATCTAGTGGACGTAAGAGAAACTTGATGGATACCAAAAAACTGGGTAGGGGGGATTGAGCCAATGTTCCCCTTAGATCAAAGAGAACACCACATAACATTTTGTGTGCTAGGAAACACTGGAAAAAAAGTGGAGCACTACAGTGGTGGTGTCTAGACCCAAATTAAATTTGTTCTCAGACTCTGCTATCACCGACTGAGCTGCTCCTAATAGTGAAGGTGATCAGATAGAAGGCAGAGTTCTTCTAATAAAGGGAATTTCATTTCGCTTCAGATAGACCAGTGGTGGCAAACCTATGGCACGGGTGCCAGAGACAGCACTCAGAGCCTTCTCTGTGGGCACACGCGCCGTCACCCCAGTCCTAGGCCTTCAGCTGGGTTTTATAAAACCTTTAGCTTTAGGCCTCTGCCATCATGTACAAAAAAAAAAAAGTTCAATCAATCAGTCAATTTCAACTTCTGGCGGGGAAAAAAAAGATCTTGCAAAGTTAGAATTGATTGATTGAACTTTTAAGTCCCACCCAGTCTGTCGTTACCACTGCAGCCATACCCACTCAATGGGCCATGCCCAGCCAATGGGCCACACCCACCCGGCACCCGACGATGCATAAGTGGGTTTTGGGTTGCAGTTTGGTTCGCCATCACTAAGATAGACTGTGCACTCCTGGATAAGACCTAAGTACATGTTTATGTTCACCGGATGTGTTCACGTGGAGCCTGGATAGTCAAGATTGACACTAAATAATGGCTCATTCCAGCTCTATGATTCACTGGCCGTAAGAAACTTTATTGTTCATTTATTCATTTGGGGGGGGATCTCCATCCACCCCCTTTGGAATCAGGGACTGAGGTGTGCAAACGTCTTTAGAGCCTGGTCATCAGCGCATGCAGTGAGCATAAATGTACCTACAAGTCAGGAGACGCAAGGATGACAGGCTTCTCTCCCGTTTGCCCCGCATTAGGTTAGCTTCCTTTGGATCCCAGCCACAGTGTTGCTTGCACAGATCCAGGACAGTCTAGGTTGCAAGGGGAGACAAAGTCACAACAGCCCCTTCTGCCTACACCCATCCCCCCCTACAAAGCCACAGCATCTCTCCCTCTCCCCCCCCCCTCTCTCCTGTCCTCCTCTCTTCCCTCCTCATCCAGCCCTGCTTTGGACACCAACTGCTATTTATTTTTTCCTCATCCGATGAAAAAGCTCAGTTGCAATGCAGGGGAAAAGCCACTATAATGTTCAAAGTTGTGGCCTTCTCAGAAGGACTCTGGGGAGAAAGGAGGCAGATGAAAGAAAGACGAGCGCCTTGTTTATTTGTTCTCCACGAAGGCCTCTGCCAGATTACTGTGGGTTGCCCCTGCTGCACCTTCTCCCGCCAGCCTCCTTCTGCACATGGTCCAGGTTAAACGACAGCCCCGTCCGTCTATCTATTCCTGAGATGTTGCTGTCAGCATTTTGCTGTCCAAACATCTGCAAACTAAAAGCATAAAAAAAAGGCCCCTCCGATGGATTTCAGAAACAATCAGATGTGTAATTCCTTCTTTTCTCCTTTTTTTCCTCAGCTGTGCAAACAGGAGCAAATTGGTCATGCATCTACACTACCTGAGGGAGCAGAGCAGAGCCCAGAACTTAAGGCCCTCTTGGAGAGGATCCAGCTGCCACCAGAGGCCCATCTACAAAGATGGCTGCCTTCTCAACATTGCTCCTAGGTCGGATCTGGTGCAAGGGGAGTCTAGCAAGATGCAACTGCTTTGGGTGAGAATTAAGCATGGGTCGAGGAGCCTTGGGATTGGAGGGTCCTTGTCCAATAGGAAGGCAGAGCCTGGTTCTGATCATCCACATCATGTTGCCAGGGGCAGATTCTGCAGCTGAGCCAGGACCACAAGGTCCCTTGGAATGCCAGAATGTAATAAAGAATTCCCTCGAGAAGGAAACCAAGGGGGAAGAGTAGTTTAAAAACCCACACACCCAGCTCTGAGCCTAGGTAACACAAAATGCGACCCTTGTCATCATTTCCTATACTTGGGTGGGGGCTAACAAGGGTGAATGCGGCTGAATTACAGGTTAGCAAGCTTGAAAGTTTAGACACATATTTACTCTCACTCTATTTTTGAAAGCTTCCATAAGGACACCTCTCTCTTCCCAAACGGTTTGAAGGGAAGATCAATCTCTCCCTCTCTGTGTGAGGAGGAGGAGGAATGTTTATTGAGTCCAAGCCAGAATTGGAGCATCAGCAGAGCACGAAGCTGTACAAGAAATGAAGAAATGAACTGCTTGCGGCTGGCAGAGAAGCTGGTCACAGAAATGCCACGGAATCTGGGGACAAAATGTGTGATACTCTGCTGGGGTTGAATCTTCATCCTGGACACTAAGGGCAGGGAAGAATTCTGGATGAGGAATTTGAGCCTTATTTCTTCAGCGCTTACTAATCCATAGTGATAAGCATTAGCAGCTAGCAAAATCCAGCTAAGTCCTCACCCTTTGAAGTCTTCATTCTTCCCTTTTTAAAAAAGAATGAAGCACTCCACGCCCTCCCTGAACTGGCTTAGGCCCAAGACAGGAAGTCAACCCAAGAAAGCCCCAGCAGAGACGGATGGCGGACAAGGAATGGAACCAGCGGAATGGATACATAGGGCCGACTCAGATAATAATAAAACTTAAACTAGAAAAGACCTAAAAAAGAAACATTTCTAGTACGATGACCTACGACGACCTATTAATCCGGAAGAGTCTGGGCTTTCCTGTTTGTGCTATGCCGGCCTAAGGATCTGCTTCTCACGAGAAGAGCCTCTGAGTGGTGATAAGCCACCGCTTCAGAAAGATCCGGCCCAGATTCAGCAGCAAGCAGAGAGCAAAGTCCCTCCCGGGTTCAGCAGATCCCAGGCGGGTGCTAGAAGAACAGCTCTTCTCGCCGGGACACCGAGACGCGACACTCCGGGCCCGGCTGGGAACTCTCCAGGGTCCTGAGAGCCGAAAGACACGGTTGCATTTGGGCTCGCCTTGCTCTTCAGAATAGTCCTCCTGTCTAGCTCGGGATACTGGTTTATTTTATTTATTTAATTCAGTTTTGAGGTTGCTCAAAATGACTCAGGATGGCCTATGAGTCAAAGAACACAACAGTGTTTTTTCAGCTATCAACGGACTGCTCTGTAGTTAAAATTCTTCTTTTTCCCTTCTTTTTTTAAAAAAACTGGAACATTTGTTCTCCTCAGCTCTCTAGGATTACTCAGTCATGATACATCAAAAATGTATTATTATCTCTCACTGATATTCATGGTTTGGCCAGACCATCTGCTGGCTGCTTCTGTACTCTCGGATGGAATTCGTCTGGTCTTGGAGAAATAATATGAAGCATTTCCTGTCCACATTTCTCCCAAACTCGAGCTTCAAACTCGAGCTCTTTCGTTCGCCCCTTCACAATGTTTGGATGCAACACAGGGGCTGGGCCTTTTTTGCCTTTTGCCTTAATCAATAATCAGATATATGGTTGTTTAAATAAGTGATTTGATAATATAAAATAAGAAGAAAAAGAATCAAAACAATCGTTTCATTAAAAAGGGAAAGGGGAAAAGCAAAACAGCAAAAACTAAAATAAGAACAATAAATATATCAAACTGCGTATAGGCAGATGTGTCTATAAAAATGTTCACGTTAGAAAACGTTGAATCAAAATAGGAGTTGAGTAGCTTTGCTGTTCTGAGGTAAACAGAAGCCAAGGCAGGAAGAGGCTAGTTACTTCGCCAGGAGGAGCCCTTCAGGTGGAAGGCCTAGGTCAGCTTTTGAAGGACCCTAAGATCAGCTGGGGCTGCAACCTCGCCTGGCGCTTCTTCTACCCTGGCTTCATTGGGAGAACTCGGCTCTTCTACCTCTGTAGCTTCGGGGTGGCGAGTTCCTTTCCCAGCATCTGCTGCTCTTAGAGAAGACCTGGATTCCCGACCTCCCTCCCCAAATGTTGCATTTAGTGCACGTCCCCAGCAAGCGTCCTTTCTCAAACTCCAGTGGTTCAACATCTGCCTCAATGGGATGGGTGGATGACCTCAAGGGAGAAGGGAACCAGGTGCTGCCCAGGAAACAGGCAAGAGAAGAGCCCCCCCCCATTCAATGGTCAGAGAAAGAAGCATAGGAAGGGCCCCAGGACCAGGCAGTTACAAGGCATGGTGGGAAGTTTGTACTTCGGACTTGCGAGGCTGTGTTAATGTATCCTTAAAGCAGGTTTAGCTCACCTGCTTGTGTTTCCTGTCAGGTTTACTTGGGAGGGCTGATATTTATTCAAGGTTCCACTTCAGCTGCACAAATAGGGCAACCACTAGATGGCAGCCAAGGGACTTTAAAAAATAACCTTTAAATCTTTGCTGAACTCCTAGTCGTCAATCTATAATAATTTTTTAAAAATGTTCGGTGAGTAAGAGGAGGTAGTATGTTGGGAAAAAGAAAAACAGTACACAGGGGCGATGTGCATGCCAACTGAAAGACTTTTCAACCAATGGTTGATGTTGATGAGAACTGGGGTTTTGGCTAAGTGATCCACCGATTGTGGGTCCCAGAGTGTCACCTTAAAGCTGTACAGACAGCAGCGTAGCGTAGACACCATCCCTGATGTGTAATAAGGACCCGCTCTGGGAGCAGCAAGGTTTAGGGCAGCAGGAGTTTTGACTGTTCCAGGATGGGGACTAAACAGTTGTGTGGATATGATCTCTGGAGTCTAGACCATTTTCGGAAGTGTGGAGTTCAGCTCCCCATACTTCCCACCCATCACTGGCTTCCATCAACTGTGGGAGATGAAGTTGCTAAGTCTGACAAAAAATTGGTCTAGATTTACAACATCAGGGTGACTCAGGGAAATCCTGATCCTCTAAAATGCCCTCAAGAATAGCAGTGAAAAATGTGCTATCCTGTGGCAAATGCAGAATAACACTGTCCTTTGAAGGACAGCTTGTCTGTAGAGATCTGACACAGAGACATAAACGACTTACAGGGCGAGAACACCTAAAACTGAATACAAACTTTATTAAGAAAATTAACAAGTGCTTACATACTTTGCAAAAATATAGTATTTACAAAACAAATAGCATGAAGTAGTTATACATTTTCCTTTCACAATGAAAAGTCTTTTTCACATTATTTTGGGAAAACCTGTGGGCATGCTAACTACACCATTCACTGCTTGCCCTGAAAATGGTCCATGTGGCCAGACTCTCATCCGATCTTCCTTCAAGGTGTGCGAGTTGCTTTTCTCCCACTAGGGAGTCCTTGCTGGTGTGCCTCAAGATGGGGCCGAGACAAGGCACAGGGCTTTGTCCGGTTCTCTTTTTCCTCTCTCTCTCTCACATGCCTCCTTTTCTCTCTCCTAAGCGACAGCAGGTCAGGCACCCCAACCCATCTCTTACCGAGGGATTTTGGAACCGCTGCACGAATGTGGGCCGAGGGGTAACACCAGGAACCTCTCGTAAGCACCACACACCAGCCACAGACTTCCCCCCTTCCCCCCCCCAGTGGATTCAGCATGGGTTCTGCAATCCAGGAATGAGCCAGTTTTTTACCTTATCTAAGCCTTTGCTGAAACCTCCGATCTCTTGCAGTTTCCGTGCCTTTTTTAAAATAAAGTTTCTGAGAAACAAAAATATTGATCACTTTGGAGCATCTGGAATTTGAACCCTAACATCTGTGTGTCCCTAGATGTTTTTTAAATGTTAAATTCATTTAACTCCTTAGTAAAAGCATGTATTAAGAATAGGAAGTATTAATTAGCACTCTCAATATGTAGCATAGCCTCCAAAGGTACTACCTGCCCAGCAAATTCCTTTTATTAATGGAATCTTACACGATCCAAAGTAAGGTTGAATTACTTTGTGTTGAATAGTGTTTCACTTTGCCAAGTGTATTAAGGACAGCAGCAGAATATGCAGAATAATCTTATTATATCCATTAGGGCCGGAAGCATGTAATTGTGCGTGGAATGGCTATAACTAGAAGGTTGCAAGTGTGTATGTGATGCGCACGTGCCTGCAGTGTTAGATATAATTGAACCCCCACCACTCCACAATGATACCCTCCCCCCCCAAAGTCCCACTAGCTAAGTCACTGTTTCTCCACCTTGGCAACTTTAAACTCTTTGGACTTCAACTCCCAGAAGCCCCAGCCAGTCATGTTGGCTGGGGAATTCTGAGAGATGAAGTTCAGAGATCTTAAAGTTGCAAGGTGAAGAAACACTGATTTAAGTCATTGCTGGACAATCTGAAACTGTCTAGATTGCAGTCCGAGTTTATTTTGGGGAGGGGAACCCACAAAAAGTAAACCATACTAGCAAAACATTTTACGATTCTTCCAGCAGTAACAAACTGATGTGTCTCTTCTTTGGTACATTGAATCTGCAGAAGGAAAATACTGGGAAAATATACTTGAAGATGCTGATTAAGACAGATGACCTAGTACTAACTGGAGTTTATCTCTGGCATTTCAATTTGAACATGAAAGTCAATATTTTTGCATTTTAGTTGCATTTAAAGGCCATCAGGGTCCCGATTTCTCTGCTCCCAGAGACAGAATTCCTCAGCCTCCACTCTCTTATGCAGGGCTGCAATTTGTTATTGCTCTTTGGGAGATTAAAAGAGGAAGGAAGAATTAGATGTATCTTTCTGTTCCCTGTGGTATGGATTGCGCACTCGGTTTCTCTTTTAAGTAAAGGAAAATGGCTGTGCGGACATCTTGCTTTATATTTAAAGTAATAAAGGCTGATTTTCAAAAGCTATTTTTTACCACACCACAACTAAAAAAAATTGCTCTGCTACTTGGACCAGGGGCAAACTCCACAAGGTTCACTTGTAAAAATGTTTGTAATCCACAGTATCTTAGTAATGGCTACAATAAAAATCTTTTAAAGTTTTTGATTCATAAAATTTGGTCACATGGCACAGATAGGGTTCCCTGAGAATATTCTACATGCACCCATTCTCTCGATTCTGAATGTGGAGATTGGAAATTCTTTCATGTCTCTCACTCTCTGAAAATTATGTTTTTTCCGTCTTCCTTCATGAAATGTTGGGAGTGTATCTGGACACCTTCCCCGCTGCCTGAAACCTCAGCTGTGACTCTTACACACGCAAAGAGGAGCCATTAACACAACACAGCGTTGGCCATCACACCCCACCCTTCGAACAATTCTCCCCAAATTCTCCCCCCTCCCCCCTTCTCCCCCATGCAAACATATCAAGGGGGTCAGTGCCCAGATTCTGCACAGCAGAAGGGGATTAGTGCTCTGTTTCATACAACTTGCTGCTCTTGAAGTTAGTGATACAAAAATAAAATAAAAAAAATCAAGCAGATCCTGCTACATCAGACAATATTGGCGAAGACAATCTGTGCAAATCAGGGACTCGGGCAACTGTGGAACTCCACCGTTGAGCCCTGGGCTACCGGGGCTCTCTTCTGCGGAGGGGGTGCCTGGGGGAGGGGGGCTGCGTGGGGGGAGGATGTCTCTGGATCCTACGGAGAAGCATCCCGCAGCCAGCGCTGCTCCTCGCTTACATCTTGGCTCTCCTGTTGGTAAAGAAGAGAGGAAGAGTCTGTTAAGCAAGGTGCCCACGGGAGATGTTGGAGCGGAAAGGCCAACTTGGACACACACGGGGCCGATGAACAGGAAAGCAATTTGCCATCCCCGCTTACAAAATATGAAGCTGTGGCTGGCTAAATTGTGTTCACAGCGGAAATCAGGATTAAGCTCCGCTTGGATATTACTGGTATTTAGCCCACTAGTGAAGAAGGAGATGGTGGCTGAGTTCACACAAGACCCTTAAATGATTAAAGAGGTAGCAGATAGATACATGCAGCATGCTGAGTTTGATTACGGTTAGATTAGGTAAAGCCCAGTCCTTTCGGTTAATATATGGGTTAGTTTGGTTAGTTTATTTTTCAGGGCATGATGTGATCTCAGAAATCAAATTAATTCAGTAAACCAGGTTTAACTGTTGTATGAACATAGCTGGTTAGTAGCTCTGTTTTAATGAACCAAGCAACCTCTCCACCTGACACTCCTATTCATGTTGGGAACTTCTTCAGAAAGGGCCTTTGTGTGCCTTTTATTTATTTTAAATTGTTTTCTGCTGCCTTTCAAAACTGGAGGGCTTCTTCACGGAGCCTTCTAGGTCTAGATATGAAGATCCCTTCAGAGCAAAGATGGCCAGTGCACGTTGGGAGTGCAACTTGACAAAATCAAGAGGTCCATCATACCTTCCCGTTTGGTCGAGAGAAGAACCTCCGCTGATCTCGGCTGATATAAAAAACCAAAGATAAGCAGAGGTCAACTTCTTGTATGTTCCAGGCTGTAGACTGGACTAAAAACTCAAAGTAGCATCCCAAAAGTTGAAAGAAAACTACTTCCGTGCCTAGAAGACCATCTAGTTAGGTCCTTGAAACCAATCAGAAGATGTGCTCAATTCAAAGACTTTTTCTACATTACAATGAAATCTTGAAGGACTTCTAGTGTAACAGAACATCTAGTTACGAGACAGAATCAGCACAACACCAGGGACATTTCTGAGAAGAGAGCACAGAACCGAATCTTAGCCATGGCCAAAGTTTTATTTTTAAAGCTTCCTAATTTTAAGTTCTGAAGTGTAAAAGTATACTTTTTTTATTTTAAGTGAGGAAAGCAAAGCTCTTCCTTTGGTGTGATTTGGACTTTGGCGGTATCTGGGTCATTAAAAGAGGAGTATCTGCCTAACCTCCCCCCAAATAAAACAATTGGGGAGTCCAATGTTGAGGAAAACAAAGTTCCAGGGAGGAAGAGATTCCTGTAGCAAGTAGAAGCAAGAAGGCCGTTCTCCGCCCGCGCAGCTGCCTAGCTGCTTTCTAGAAGCCCTCCCGTTGACGTGGCTCCCCTGGGATCCTCCTCCCACTGAGCAACACAACACGGCCCTGCCCCTGGCCCGGCTCTCCTGTGCTAGAGAAAGGCCTGCAAAGCTCAAGCGGAGCCACCTCAGGAGGACTGAGACGAGGCCTCAGTCTGGATCCTTTTATCTTGCTGGTGCCACTTTCCCTTCCTGAGGTAGAAGGGTTGGAGGCGCAACGTAGGCAAAAAAGAGCAGCAAGAGCCATGGCGCCTAGACTTACACACCAGCCCCCTCTGAGCGGCTTACGGAGTCAGCCTCTTGCCCCCCAACAATCTGGGTCCTCATTTTACCGACCTTGGAAGGATGGAAGGCCGAGTCAACATTAAGCCAGTCAGGATCGAACTCCTGGTGACGGGCAGAGAATTAGCTTGCAATGCTGCATTCTAACCACTGCGCCACCACGGCTCTTCACAACGTAAAGAATAACAGTAGAGGAATCATAGAAAGCTAATCTTAACATAACACAACAAAAAGACACAACTCTTCCCCCTCTTTCTCAGTTCAGGGTCAGTGTGTCTGTGATTCACTTGGATATTTGACAGACACCTGTCAGAGAAGAAAGCAAAACTGCACTGAGCAGCAAAGTCCCTTTTATATTAACTCGCCAAAACCTGTCAGCTTTGCTGTAATCTCATTAACCTCTCTGGGAACTGCTGTGACAGGGACGTCTTTAACTGGCTTCTTGTATCGCTATTAACTGTATTTTAAAACATGCAGCTGACTTCCTTGAATTTTTCCAGGCGGAGCATTGTGTGACTTTTATTTTGGACTCAGGGATATATAATCGTGGGGCAAAACAGATGTGCCAGTCATGCTGGGCAGGTGGGGGTGTTAAAGCCAGTGCGGCCCCAGAGGCTGTCAAGTGGATCACAAGGGTAGTTTGGGAGCAGAGACAGGAAAAAAACCGCACTGGAGCCAGCAGGTGCAGGGAGAGCTCTTATCTGGGAGGCTAATTCAGTCCTAAGACTTTGAGATGCCCTTTCCCTCCTGCCACCGCCTCTGTCTTCTGTCTGCTGTCACTCAATGGGGCTGTTCAAAGGGGCTGTTCAGGGCATGAAAGGGCTGGGGGGGGCGTTTAGCACCCACCAGAATCCTGCTGCGACCCTGTTGGGGTCAGCAGCTTCACAAAGGGCTCCTGGCACTGATCACAAAGTCTTCTCGGAAAGATGCCGGTTCCGATGTTTTCAGGATTCACATACCGTAAATGCCTGTGTATAAGACGACTTCCGCGAGCGCTGAAATCGGCGCCAAAGACGGGGGTCGTCTTATACGCCGAGTCGTCTTATACGCCGGAAATACTGGTAGTTTCCGGCGTATAAGATGACGTTCTAGGAATGCGGCCCGGCTATAAAGACGGGGGTCGTCTTATACGCCGGGTCGCCTAATACGCCGGCATATACGGTAGGTTTATTGGCAGCTCCAACTGAACAACACCAGTAGCAACAGCTACGAGGCCAACTGGGAGGCAGTTGTAGAAAAGGTTGTTGCTATTAGCAGCAGGACAACAAACAGTGGCTGTGACTGTTGCAGAGGAGGTAAAGCCATCCCGTGGGGCGCAGGGTGTGTGGAATTGGGGGTGCTTCATGTGTTCCATCTGCATTATTTGGGGCAACAGCGATACTGCTGTGGGTTAACTGGATTTGGGATGGTCCAAAGGGGTTAGATTAGAAGGTCAATTCCAGCCCTCGGATCCCAGGGATAACAAACTGAAATGGAAACCGGTCAGCCCCAATGCAATTCCTTAGGAGACCTTCTGCATTGGGAAGCTATTTAATAACACAACTTAACTAGCTTGGTTTGGATGACTGAGAACTGACTGTGGCACCTTCTTCTAGCTGTGAGCCGCTGAGTCCTTGTTCTTGGCACCCACAGCAGTTGCATGGAAGAGAAGTAAGTAAAGAGGTGAAAGAGATTAGTGAGCAATGAGCTTATTATATCTTAGCAGGAACGTTCAAGACTTCAAAGCGAGTCTTGAACTTCCCCAAACTGCATCCTTGCAACAGCCTGGCAAACACAAGAAGGAAGCTGAGAAGATGAAACAACTGACAACAGCCCATCTAGAAAAAGCATAATTTTTATTATTTAAAAAGCATTTCTAATAAATGTCCATATACAGTTGGGCTTTTACAGTATTAAACTAGCCAGTTTTATTGTTTTAATATACAGTATATAATATATGCAGTACAATGATAGAACGAGTGAAAAATAGATAGGCTATATTAATAGAGTTGTAGATACTCATATTGCAGGTGGCCGTCTATGGGCACCTTTTAAGCTGCCAGTGGATAAACGGCTGCGATGCAGATATATAACATTTGACGGAGAGCAGATAGCATTATTTGGGATTGGCTTGAAATGTGGTTTTAAGCAGAGAGAAAAATAGATCTCCTGGGTGCATGGAGGAAAATTCAAAGGACTTAGTTCGGCAAGGATAGCTATGGGGCCGGCTCTTTTGAAGTCGGGCGTCTACAAAGACCCTAGTATTTCCAGTAAAAACATTCATATATAAGATTGCTGCCAAGAGACTACCCTCGCTGTGTCTGACATGCTTGGGGTCAACTTCTTCCTTGAACTGCTCAAAATGAAAAGTCTGGAAGAAAATATGTTTAACCAGAGACCATCTGAACAGACCCAAAAGCACATTAATAAGAAGCTTCCAGAATTGGCTCTGGTGCAACTTCAGAAGAATGCGCAAAGGGTTGGAAGAAATCCGGTGCATGAAATTCATAGCTCCCCCACCAAGCCCCCGTCCCCCCCCCACAAACGTACACAGACACATTCTCCCGTGCAGACTTAAGGACTCTGTTTCTAAGCTTTCTTTTCCCACAAAATACCTACGTAAGGACATAAAAAGAGCGTTGCAGGCTCATACATGTGATTTAATAGAAATTGTGGCACTAACACAAGGTGAGAATTGGCCCAGTTATTACAACTATCCCAAAGGTTTCCACCAGATCTGCTTCATCTGCTAAAATCAACTTAATCTTACTTTACTTCCATAAAGGTCACTTCTATGAATGTTGTCATACCCCAAATGTCACAGTCACCTTCCAATTATTCCCTAAAACATATTTCTGCTCATCCTCTATGCAACTGGCCTTCAGTGCTTGAGGGTTTCAGGTTGAACTATCTGTGTGGGGAACTTGGGGTGAAATTCCTACGTCACTTGTGGGAATTACTGTGGGGTAACTGACCCAGGCATCTTATCACCTCATCCACTTGAATCTTATCTCTCTGGGCCCCCAAACTGAAAGTCTCTCTTGGTGCCAGGTGAGAAGCAGCCTCCAGAAGCTCAGCTGAGGCCGAGCCCCCCTCTTTGGCCAGCCCTCTTTCACGGGGGGGGGGGCTTTTGTTACAAGTCCTTTGGTGTTGCAGCTTACTTTTGAAAGTATTTCTCCAGGTACTCTTGAATCCACTTCAACTTGGGGTCGATGCAGATCTGTTTAGTGCTGTTTTTCAGTCTTGCACTGCCGAAAAAGATTAAAAAAAATAGAAAGAAAAAAATAAACTCACAAACATAAACCAAACCCGATTTTGTTAGTTCAGCTTTTGTGACAAGGGACAATCAGGACATCTGCTCCTTATAACATTACACAATGAAAGAGGGTTTTTTATTATTATGGTGAAATTAAAACCGTTAAAAGCAATCGCTTTGGCTATTGCACAAACTGACACAAAGCAGTTTGTGTCAGTTTGATACTTGATTGATAGCTGGGCCACCTTCAGACCAAGGTCACCATGGCCTAAAGTTAAGTAGGTCCAAAGCTTTTGAGTTACCTTCAGAAGGCATGCTCTGAGTTACACTGTTTTCATTTTCATTTGGCCAGTTTGGGAATTTTGGGATCTCTCCCAACTTCTCTATGAAAGAAAGCCCCTTGTGCAGAGAGAAGAGTGACAGGAGGCAGTTTTGTGACTGACACATCTAGCTGATAAGCAGAAAATGCCAAAGGAGGGACTGAAAATCATCACACTTTTGGGAGGTGAACTGAAAGAACCAACTCAACACAATCTTGCATTTTTTGGCAGCAACAATATTCGGCATCTCTGCAATGGGAGAATGGACTAAAAACCAGAAATGATAGAGCAATGGAGATTATTTTTATTACTGCATCTCTGAACTCCATCATTTGTACCAAACTGTCTTTAATATACAAGTGTGTCTAAATGTGTAGGACACACAGCAAAAGAGCTTTTCTGATATTTGCTGAACCTCTTCCCCAGAAAAGGCTATTATTATTTGTGAAACTTTCACCCGGGATTTCCTGGTTCCCTCATTACATGAAATACCCCCAAATTCTGGAAACAGGTTGTTCAAGATCCAGACTGTGTCTCACCAATGAACTGACAAGGGAAGTCCTAAGTTGGTTTTTGTTGTTAGGTCACAATTCCTCAATCTACAATGAGTTTTTTATTACATGCGGGAAAATGTTTCCACAAGACACATAATTAGTCTGTCTTCCTTAATCTTTTCTACTCAGCAATCCACGTTCCCAGGCAGAATTCTATTTATAAACAATATAAGCAGAATATAAATCAATTTTTAAATACCACCAGTAGAAAGTGAAAATACAAAATCCGAAACATACTTTCACATATTTCATTCTTTTTCAAGAAAGTCTATTTTTGCATCATTTCATCCACATTTAATAGTAGAGTAGAAAGAAGTTAATTATAAAGCTTCTCTATAAAATCATCCAAGTTGAAGTACTTTTGAGTTATTTTAATTTTTCTTCAAATACACAACTAAACTTATAAATAAACTGTGGCTCTGTCTAGCATAAGGAAAGCATGTAAGGTTTTGCCCTCTCTTCCTGTGTGGTTTTAAATTTTATCTTGTTTATATTAAAGGGATGTTTTAAGGGGAAAGGATAATTGCAAGAGATGAATCCTTCTGGATTTTGAAGACCCAGGATAGAAGGAGGATAAAAAGAAAGCTAAGACTTTTGAACTTTGGTACTGGAGAAAATTGCTGATAAATACCACAGGCAGCCACAAAAGTAAACAAATGGATTGCTGAACAAATCAACTCAAGAGTTCTCACTTGAGACCCAGATGACCAGGCTCAAGTTATCCTACTTTGGTCACCTCCTGTGAAGACAGAGAAGCCCCCAGCACCGGGAAGGGTGGAAGGAAAGGAGACCATCATCAAAATCCCCTGTGGCCACATCACCACCATAGGACCTCTGGGGATGCTGCAATGGCCAGTCGCAAGTCTCACTTTTCAGGACCATCATAAATTTGAACAACCACCAAGCGTGTGGTTGGCAAGCAAGTTGTCTATAGTACAAAGGACATAAAACCACAAAAACAATCCCACTTCAAGGACAAATCCAGCACCAAGAGCAACTTTTTCACTTCTCAACATTCAGAACCTCCGTGCCAGAGCTCAGCCTTGAATGCCCTCTGAAAGACTGCAAAGGGGAGCATCACCATCCGGGTCTCTGGATGAAAAGTCTTCCATGAAGCAGGACCACAGCCAGAAGATCACACCATCAGAAGATCTCATGGAGAGGGAGACCTTCCAGGTGCCCTTATCAGTGAAACAAACTGGATGGGTAACTTTTGCCCGAAGTTGGTGGTCCTACAGAACTCACAATTTAAAAGCAGCACTCTTTTTTTTTTTTTTTTTTTTGCACTGGTGAGCTAAACACTTTGCCTCCTTTTAATCCATGGGAACAAATAATCTTTAAGCCCTTTTTAGTCCAGGGATTGAGGATTGCTAGGAGATCGGTGTTTGCAATCCCTCAGTGCAACAATCTCTGTCTGTCCTTCTCTGCCTGCTACCATTTGCACCGCATCCATCAACAAACCGTATCCTATTCCAACCTCTGTGACTTCCGCCCTCCCTCTCGACACCACAAAGGGTTTTTTAGGCTCCTGTCTTTTCCACCCAGGAATCTTTTTTAAAAAATCCTGAAAACAGGAACTCCTTAGGTGAAATTTAGAAGACCTTATTCTTTCAGAAAGTTCATTCAAACATGTTTGCAGATTTCGATCCATTCTGCCATTAAATCTGCCAAACAAAATTTACAATTTCCTTCGTAAAAGAAGAACAAAACAGGAACTTAGCATCTTGGAAGAATTAATCTGCTCAGAAAAAAATGGCTACTCCTGACAACGTGATCCAGTTCTGTCAAACCAGTAAACAAAACGTAAGTAATGCCTTATTTCCAATTAAGAGCCAATGAGAGGCAGGGACCTGGATTTCAAAATCATAATTAGAGACTAAATTGAATCGAGAGGTAGAAAAAGTCGTTTTCTGAGTTTGTAACTCAGTGTGTGGTAACGTTAAGATGCCAGCTGGGAATCCTGGGAGTTGAAATCCACCCATCTAAAAGTCACCAAAGTTGAGAAGCGCTGGCCTAAACCATCCATAAATTGTAACTTGAGGCATAAAACTCTTAACTGAATAGATGCAACTACTTATGGGTTTGTTTTTATAACTATATCATTTTTATTTCCCTGAAGATCCAAGAGAGTTTACAAGGGACAATTATAAATGAAAAATAAAACAAAATCAAAATATAAGCAGCAATACAATAAAATGGAAAATAGCAGCAACTGCAACTGAATTAAGAAGCCACAACATGAAAGATAATACAAATCAAGTCTTAAGACTCTTCCTGGAGGCCACTAAAAGTAGAAAAAATTACCCACCAGGGGAAAATGGGAGGGGGGGCTGGTAAGTTTCTGAGCAAAACGGGACCGCCGCCAAATGGGAACCATCCAAGGACCCAGGGAAGGGGCTCCCCCTGGGTGGGTGAGGGTCACATCCGGCCCTTTGGCTGCCCACCTGAGGCCAATTGGAAATTAGAAATCAAACATAAATAAGTTCGCCATGCATGCAATACAATTGCTTTTTATTCTGAAGGCAACTGCCATTTCCCTCCCCCCCCATTTGCGTGTGTGCCGGCCTCATGTCCCTCCGCGGCCCTCTTGGTCTGGCCCTTCACAACAGCCCTAGTTTTTCACGCGGGCTCTTGGGAAAAGGAATTGCCCAATTGTTGGTGTAGGGCATTCACATACAGATAAGGCCTCAATTTATGTCCGGGTCACTTAGTGAGATAAGTTACAACAGGCCCCCCTGGAGCGCTTACAGCCTATTTCCAAATCTCCAAAAGTCACCCTCCCCCCCCCACCGGTCATGTGACTGCAGATGGGACCCTGGGCACCCAGAGCCCACCATGAGAGCCGTTTGCAGCATCTCAGAGATGCTGATGTAAAACTATCGAGTTTTACATCAGTTTTGCGCAGAACAAGCATTTACTCGCAGACTTCAGCAACACTGGGGCATAATGAAGAGTAGGTTCCCGTTATGACTGCCGCAAAAAAGGTGATAAAATCGGATCAGTCCCGGGACTGGCCCACTTATGCCCTCGTGACTTATCACTGTAATGGGCAGACTCCATTACAGTCATAAGTCAAGGACTGCCAGCAGCTCCTTAAAGACATCCATACGTCGCATCACGATAGTTTAAAAACAGAAACCAGGACCTCCCCCCCAAAAAACCAGTGACTTTAATCTATTCAGAGAGTTTAGACCTGTGACATCGTGTCCCAGGCGCCCGACGTGTGTCCAGCTTCACCTCTGCCTGGCTGGCAGTGAGTGGTGGTCTCGTCTGAGATCCAGGAAGGACCTTTTCTCATCTGTTTCTTTTTACTTTAATGACCATGGAGGCCTTTGGACAGAACGGAGGATTTTATGGGCAACCCCCCCTGCTCCCTCCCTCTTTCCTATCCCCTTCCCACTCCCTCCTCCAGATAAGGAAGCAAAGTGATTGACAGAAAGGACAAGCAATTTTTCATACTTTTCTAAGTAATGATGATTAGCACAGCAACAGCATGATCGACTTCATGAAATCAGATTCTTAAGGCTGCATTCCAATGTGCCTTAATCAAGTCTTTTTCCTCTTTAAAGAAAAGCTGTTCCATGCAAAAAGCATAAACGAAGCCTTCAGCTGATGCTACCAAGGGTTAACATGTAAAGTGGTTAGACCCAAGAAGCGTCTTTTACTCTTATTTTTACCGTAGACGGAAGCCTGTTGACCACAAAACCTCATCACTGGTCATGAGGGAAAAACGTATGCAAAATAAAATACCAAATTTTCACTGGTACAGTGACCCCAGTTTAGCAATTATTGGCCGTCACTAAGACCCTAATTTTCCCATGTAGTTAATGTAATTTGATGAATTAAACCTAAATTTCTAGACGATGTGAACCGTTTACACTAAGGAGCCACGAGAGGGCAGAAAAACTTCCCATCTCCCTTTCTGATCACTTTTTTTCTGTTTACATTCGGGAAGATCTCATTTGAGTTTCATAAAAAGTGGGAGGATTAGATTTTTATAAAAAGTCGACTCCCAAACTCACTCCAGATCCCAGACTCGACTTCCGCCATTTCAAACGCAAAGACAATTTTTCTAGACCTAACGCCCTCCTCTTTTCCAGCTAGATTAAAATCACATCTTCCTGAAAACACTGAAACTGCAGTTTTGCAACACAAAATAAAAATCATAGCAAGAGTAGTGTTCGTTAAATGTAAACACAGCCTCTACTGAAAATAAACAGAATGACCTCAAATGTCACGATGGCTGTGGGAGGAAAAAAACCTTGCAAATCAGGTCAAGAGTGAAAACTGGCCTACTTTTCTACTCAGATACGAGCTTTGTATCTTTTATTACAGACGAATTAAATGCAACTTCTCAAAATACAGGCGGGGGGGGGGGAGAGCCGGTGTTCTGAAGGACGGTGCTGCTTCAGGGCTCCCGGCTGGCACCAAAGGTGGTGCGGAGGAGAGACTTACTTACATGACCTGGAGGGGGCATCCAGGGACGGTCAAGATCTTCAGGTGTCTGATCTGAGACTTGGCGACGTGGGTCTCGAAATACCTGCAAGGGCACCGGTAAGTCAGGCTGATGGGTTTCCCTGCAGGGCAGAACAAAGGAGAGGCCTCAGATACCCAGCCCAGATACCCAGCACAAACAATCCCGGCCCTTCATTCTTGTTTGTGGTTTCTAAAAGACAAAAGTGAGGTGAGAAATTGGAACATGCATTGGCGGATTTTTTAAAAGGAGCCAGCTAATTGTCCGAGTGACTGGCGGCAATTACCCAAGATAAAGGGGGGAGCTGAGAGGCACTTGGCCTCCCCAGTGTTATTCCTGCTAAATAATTTGACCCCGGGGCCACATGAGAAGACAGACAAAAGAAGAAAGAAATCTCACAGCTACACAAAGCCCCCTCCCTCCTCCCTCCCTCCCTCCCCATATGCAGAGCCACCCTGGGCATGGAGGAAGGGCCAAGCCAGGTGGAGTTTGCAGCCACAAATCTTACGTGGCAGCCAGCAGCAATTAGTGCCAACTCAACTCGGCTCCAGGTACAGGGTGGTTCAGCTCTCTGCCTATTAGCTTTAGGCGCAGCTGTGAAATGTTTGAAGTTTTCTCTCACACACACACACAGAGAGAGAGCACTGGCAGACAAAGCCTGACACCTCAACTCCTGCTTCAGAAACCATCATTAAAGATAGGATGGATACTCTTACAAGATGGTTTCTTTGAACAAGTAATCATTAGGAGCTGCTGCTTCCCTCCTACAGGCACTGGAAGTGTTTTCCTCCCGGTTGCCTCGTGGCAGGAGAGGAGATAACCGGTCCCCCCCCACACACACACACACCTCTTATCGGTCAGAAAACCTCAAAGCTACCAGCAGCACAAAAAAAGCTTAGGAGAACAGAAAGTCTTGCCAATAATGCAATACATAATGAAAGAGTAACATAAAAGCAATAGATAGTATATTGCCACCCAGAAAGCAAGAGAGATTGCTGAGTTTGCAAGCCTCCCCTCATTATCTGGGTGCCCGCTGCCTGCTGCTACGTAAAAGAAGTTGCTACACTGGGTGAGAAGCAGCTGGCTGCGACCCACCATAGAAGCCGTAGGTGCTGGCTGGACAAGCGTGTGACGTAATGTCATTGCACAAATAACACAAATTAGATTGCTCAGATCATGTTGTCTTAAAACATGTCACTTCATTATGGACACTTATGAAGGAATTCACATGGGGACCCTGGAATATTTATTAAAAGGGGTGCAGCAAGTTTATTGTAGAGATGCCTTATAAAATGGAGGAGGAGGAAGAGGAGGAGGGGGGGGGTAAAAACCAAACTAGAGACAAAAACAACAAGCCTTGGCCTTGGTTTCCAAAAACTTTTAACATCCTGACAACTCTCCTCTAAACCTCTCCCGTGAACAAACGGTATGATGGAGTTTAAATGCAACCATTGGTCTATATTAGCAGAAGTGCTGGCCAAAATCAGGGGAGATAACCATTCCATGGTAAATAGCACTGGAAATATTGTGTTCGGCTCTAGGGACCGCTCTTTAAAAAGGAAATGCAGTACATAAAGCAGGTTTGCTAAAGCCCCCTCTGGGTGATAAAAGAGTCTGGGTGTGTTTAATTTGCAAAAAAGAAAGCCCGGAGATCTACAGTTTTCTAAAGGGGGGGGGGTCTGTTTTATGGTGAAACAGGACAGGGACCAATGTATTGAAATTCAAACAGGAATTTAAGAGGAATTATTAGGTCTCCTCAATCAAAAACAAATGTGGAGCAACTTTCTTATAGAAATGTTGAGAATCAGTCTGTTGGATTTGCCCCAATGCTGGAGCTTGCCAAGGTCATTTTGAATTGTGATTTTTTTTCCCCCTCTAAGGTATTAAGCAATCTCCTCCAGTTTGCAATCATCTGCAAATTTGATAAGCATCCTTCTGGTTCCATCTAATATAAAGATGCTTCAATAGAGCTTGGCAAAGGATCAGCCCCACCTGATATACTCCACCAGTCACTGGGCTGCCTAGTGTACATTTATCCATCTCGGACACAAGGATATTATTGGGGGGGGGGAATTGTCCAACCCTTTGCTGAGAACAAGGCATGCCAAATTCCTTGTTTTCCGGGCTCTCCAAACTCTGAACGTAAAAAGAGATAAGGGCTGAGGCACACTGCTCTGTCCTAAAAAGCTTGGCCAGCTTGACTCATCCAGTTTTTAAAGAGTGGAGCCCAGGGGTCCAAGGCCTGCCCAGCCGGCCCCTTCCACCTCTTGGTGAGTGGGTAAAGGGGGGCTGCTCTTCAGCAGGGGATCCCCCTGACTCTTGTCAGCCATGGATGCCCCTTAGTTTGAGAGTAAGCTTGCAACTGTTAGCCCAGCCTACTTTTCAAGGTTATACCGGCGGGGAAACGGGAGGAGGGAGCACTAAATATGCGGTCTTGGGCTGTAACTAAATAATCTTTTTTGGTTCGGAGAGTTGAATTTGCTAAAAGTGGGTTCTTGCCGTGCCTTGATCACTTTTGAGCTACATTTTGCCCTTGTTCAATCACATCAGGAACGGTTTGGTTTCTCTTCCAAGGAAAAATATTTCAGGCACTGCAAATGAAGCGTTAAGCATTTTTGCCTTTTCTCATTTTGTCTTTTATTTCAGACTTTGCTCCAAAAATCCTTCTTGCAGCCAAAAAACAGCCTTACCTCGTTCTGAGTTTTAGTTTTTCTGACTCCAACCTCGGCTGCTGCTATGGGTTCAACCCCTTCTAGTCGTTAGTCATTGTGTCTATTTCCTGCACTTCTCCCCGTTTCTATTAATAGGTTTAAGTATGTTAATTGTGCAAGGAATTTTAAAATTTAAAAGCGAACATATCCAACCTAACATTTTACATTAAAAATTCAGTATTATAAAGACATTAATTGGCTATTGCAAGGGAGATGTGGTCTGGGTGCAGAGATCCCTGGGTGGAACAGATCCGGAGGGGGATTTTAACCGATGCCCTTTGCTCTGCTGCCCCCCAGGCACCCCTCTCCCTTGACCCTCAGCCCTCTGGGCTTAGAGGGGCAGTGCCAAGAAGTAAAAGGAAGGGGACACTCCAAACTGAATTATTTTTAAAACCATAGAGAAGCATTGAGTGTCCATCCAGGTTGAAAAAAATGTATTCTCTCAGTTTGTTCTCTAATACAACTTAGAGACGTGCAAACAATTTTCAAAATTGGAAGAATTTAGCCTTTCGATACATGCAACCGTAAGTGGATTGCTGAAAAATAATATTTGAGAGCCGTGCTTCTCTACTTTAGCAGCATTAAGAACGCTGGACCTCGAATCTCAGAATTCTGGGGGGAGAAATTCAGAGACCTTAAAAGTTGCCAAGGCTGAGAAACACGGCTCTAGAGTGCAACCATTTGTGCAAATCTTCCTCACACCTTCCTTCCAAAGCTCTCCCTCTTTATAGCTCCAAGGGATTCAAAAATTCATATTATGCCCAAAGTCTTTTCCATAAGCATCATGCCAGCTCTGTTCAAGGACAAGCTGAGCTTCATACACAAAAAAAACTTGGATTAATTATAGGTAGAAGCAGCTGTATTTAGTCCTCTTTTCTTACTGATAGATTATCATTCAGCTATTTTTCCTAATGCCTATTTTCCTAATGAAAAGAAAAGCTCCTTTAGAAAAAAAAATGCCTAGAAAAGCACAGCTCATCCATTGTCAGGGAAAGTCTAAAAATAAGGATGTAAGCGCTTGCAACTTAATCATAATTATAGCCTCCGCTGGGTTGGAAATCCTGTGCAATCAGGATTCCTAATTTTGCAGATTACAAAGTTAATCAGACCTTCAACACAGGAAAGACTAAGAGGGAAGGGAAGAAGGCAGGAGAGGTGAGAGAGAGAGAGAAAGAGCAGCGTGTATAAATGCTGCATCTGTGTGTGACCTATTAAAGCAGGTCTGTCTATTTGCAGGATTACACACAGTCATGGTATATGCTGTTCTAGGCCTTCAGAAACACCTTCTTGTGAGTCTTATCTGAAGCACCGCACAATGCTGGCCTTTAGCTTTCTCTCTCCATAGCTAGTAGAAGCTGGAGGTGCAGAATAATTCAGGGAACAGGATGAAGATAAAGTTACTAGATTCCTCTCTACCGTAACAACTTCAGTCCAAGTTGCAATTCTGCAGTTGTGTTCAGCAAAAAAAAAAAAAAAAGAACATTAAAATTTGTTCACCAATGTATACATTTTTGTCACATGTAACATAACATTTCTGAAAGTAGATTTTTTTAAAGGTTGTTTTATGATGTAAACTATCTGCAGACTGAAGTGGCTTATACCGCCCCCATCGTGCCTCCGTTCCTCAGTCTTGTGCTTTTTACTCCAGCTTAGTTAGGCGGCGAGAGGCAGGGGGCCTCCCCACACGGGAGCCTCTTTGAGGCTGAGCACCTTCACCTGCGCGTCCTCCTCTGTGCAACTGGAAAGTGGAAGCCCACTAAGGAGGTTTCTTCTCTACAAAGGGCAGATCTAAACTCCAGAGCTGATTGATCCTCCACATTAGACCACAAATTTGATTCGTCCTGCTAAAAATATTTTCTCCCAAACATCTAAAAGCTTCCCTCCACTTTCTGTAGGTCTAAGTTGAACCTCATTTCTTGGGAACACAAATGCAGATGGAGAGTAATTTACGGAAGGAGTCTGACTTGGGAAGGAGCGTGCGGCTTCGAAATAACTTCATCCTGATTTTTAACCCAGACTGCAGTTTAGAACAGGGAACGCAAGGAAATGTTGCGGATCTTGCCCTGCAGCTGTGCGGGCTGAACTGAAGTCCCTTTGAAGACCCTGTGGACTGAAACAGGCCGCAGCGTTTCAGAAATGAACCTGCCGCGTGTGCACGGTCAGCCATCAGAAATCAGTACAGAAAGAAGAACCGGAGAGCTGAACCACCTTTTGACCTGGGAGCAAGTCTCCTCTAGAGCAGTGTTTCTCAACCTTGACCATTTTAAGGCATGTGGACTTCAACTCCCAGAATTCTACAGCCAGCTGGCTGTGGAATTCTGGGAGTTGAAGTCCACATGCCTTAAAATGGTCAAGGTTGAGAAACACTGCTCTAGAGCAAGGGAAAGGGCAAGGAAAGGGGAGGGAAAGAAAAAGGAATAAAAGCGGAGGGGGTCCTTAGCACCTCTCCTATCGGCTGAACAGAAAGCAACTGCAGGGGAAAACACACCTGCACTGGAAACACCCAGTGTGTCTCCTTGAGGGGGGGGGAGAGAGGGTGATTCTCCCGTCCCAGATCTGGCTACTCCTCCCAGAAGACCCCCACCCAAAAGAGGCCTGTGACTTGCCTGCCTCCCATCCTAGCAGAGACCCAGAGGAAAATTCTCTGGAGGGGAGGGGGCAGCAGGCAGAAAGCCTCCGCACCAGAGCAGCTTTCACTTTCTGAAAGAGAAGAGCCCGGCCATTCTCTCTCTCTCTCTCTCACACACACACACACACACACAGAGGGGGGGGGCAGGGGCCCTCCGCACCCCGCGGCAGAAGCGCTGGCGGCGTCCAGAGGCGGAGAGGAGGCGGCCAACCCTCCCCAGGGCGACTCTGCCCGATGCCACCAGGTCCGCGGACGGGCTCCGAGCTTTGATCCTGGCGGGGGGGGCAGGGGGGAGAAATCCAAAGGCTGCTAAGCGGGCTTGGCGGGAAGCAAGTTCCGCTGGATTCCGGGGAAAGCCTCGAAGGAATCCAGGGATCCCGTCACTCTCTTGAAAAGCGAGAGGGCGGCGGCGGCGGCGGAGCTTCCCGGGGGGGGGGGCAGTCGGGAGGTCCCCGGAGAGGCCGGACCCTGGACGGCCCGCCTAGAGGCGAGGGAAGGCCGGCCAGGCATCTCCCGAGAGCCCCGAAGGCTGAAGGGGGGAAGGGGCGTCTTCCTTCCCTCCAGAGAGACCCCTCCGGCCCGACTGCAGCGTCTCTGCGGCCCCCCTCAGGCTCCCACTTTGGACGGAGCGCCGGCTGACCGGACCCCCTTCCGAGGGCGCCGAGCACCCGGAGCCTCTCCCGCTTCGGGGTTCGGCAAGCCCGCCGGAGCAGCCTGGGCCGGCCGTGCCTTCCGCCTCCCTCGGGCTGAGCCTCCGGGCTCCGCCGGCCCCGCGGAAGGAAGCGCCGGGCGGCGCCTCGCTCCCTCCCTGCCTCCCTCGCGCGCTGCCGGCTCCGACAGGCGCCCCGCGCTCTGCCCCGCTCGCCCCGCCAGCCGCGGCCGCCCCGGCGCGGAGGGGACCCCGCGCGCCTCCCGGGGGCGTCCGGAGCCGGGCGCGCGTGGCCGGGCGGGCCGGGGCCAACTCACCGTGCGGGCCCTGGAGGGCGGCGAGCAGGAGCAGGAGCAACAGGGCGAGTCCTTGGCGGGGCATGGCTGGCTCTCCGTCTGCGCTCGGCGAGGCGACCCTTTCTGGCCGGCCCCCCGCCGCCCGCCCGCTATAGAGACTGCGGGGCGGAGGGGAGGGGGCTCGGGGGCGGGGCTCGGGGGCGGGGGCCAGGCCTCCGGAGGGGCTGGGAGGGAGCCGAGCCCCCCCCCGCTCCCCCCGCCCCCCCAGGAGCCCGGAGCCGGGCGGGGTTGGGCCGGGCTGATGCCCCCCCGAAGCCCCCTCCCCCTCGGCTGCTGCCGGCGGTGCCGGGCGGCGTCTCTCCGGGGCCCGTCCCGCCCGCCTTGAACTTCGGGGGGCTTCTTGCGTCCCGGGGCCCGGGCGGGAGGAGGCCCGACGGTCAGCCGGGAGGGGCTGCGTGGAGCCGGCTCCTTCTTCTCTCGGCCGCCCGGGCCGCCCGGTCCCCGGTCAGGGGCCCCTCCGCTCTGGGGAGCGGGGGCCGGGCGGGTTGGAAGGGGAAGCCGGGGTTTGGGGGGGGCTTTGCAACCCGGGCTCTCCGACGGGCTCGCGTCGGCTGCCCCGTCCGGGAAGCGGAGTTGCAGCTGCTGCGCCCGGGGGCTTCGGCTGCCGCCGCTCGAGGTGGCGAGGGGCCCCGTTCGGCCCTGGTCTCCCTTCCCCGGCCCCACCGCCGGCCCCGGGCTCGGTCTGCCGGAGCAGCCCCTCGCCGCCCCCGACGCTGCCGTAACGAGAGCCGGGAGGGCGATTCTCCCGGAGCACAGCCGGAGCGCCCTCTGGACGATGCGCTTCTGGCACTGGGCTCCCACCTGGACGGAGGGCTTTGCACCGGTTCCCACCTTCCTCCCCTTTAAGGACTTCAACTCCCAGAATTCTCCAGCCGCTGGATAGCTGGGGAATTCTGGGAGGCCGCCCATCCTCCGGCGGCCAAGGCTGAGAAACGCTGGTTGGAAGGACGCTGGGCTATTTCAGCAGAGGAGAGAATAATAGTCTGGTCCAAAGGCCGCTCTTCGGAGGAGAAAACTCCGGAGAAGGAAAGGCCTCCGGAACAGAAGCGATGCTGATGCTTCCCACCCATCCAGGTGAACGACGCCCCCTCCCCCCCCCAGTCAAGGCAAAAGAGTGGTGGGAGCTTCTTTCAGAAGGGAGCTGCAGCCAACCCGCCCCCCCCTCCCCAGCACACCACAGCTGCAGGAGAGAAAGAGAAAGGCCGAAAGGAAATGACCCAGGTCCTGAAGCATCCCAGCAGACCAGGGAGTCCTAAGGATTTCACTGTAATTGTTCGGGGAGGAAATCTTGACCACTTTCAAAAAAACCAGCCCAGAATTGCAGCCTTTGGGAAGAAAAAGTCCCCCATGCACAGTTGACCGCTTTAATCCGGAGGAGTCTTGTGATGATGCTAGCACCACTGGGCAAGGAGCGGATTTGTGCTCATGTAGAGAGCTTAGACATTTCACACAACCGAAGTCCCAGGGAGCTGAATGTCCCCACTGGAAGGCTGCAAACTCAGCAACCAGAGAGGAACTTTGCAGGTAAAGAGGAACGGATATTCTGTGGAAATTCCTGAGGTCTCCCTGGGGTTGAAGCTGGTCCCTGCCTGGACACCTCCAGGCAGCCCCACGGGAGTGGCTTGCCATTGGCCTCCGTTTCCAAGCCTGGTCACCTCTCAGGTGTCCTGGTCCTCTTCCGCCCATGAATCCAGAGAAAACACTGAATTTAAGGACGAAGCTACAGGGGCAAAAAGAGAGAGAGAGAGAGAGAGAAACTGCAAGAGGTAAAGCTCCAGGAAGAAGCTCAAGAGAATCTACAGCAAAAGAGCTTCACTCCTGCTTAGCATTTCTGAGAGAGCCAAGGCTGGCCAGGTATCCGGTCTCTAGGGGAGACATGCAGAAATTGTTCTCTTGGGGGGGGAAGCAGAATTAATTGTTTTGGACAAGTTTTATCCAAGAATGGGAACCTTTTGTCTTGTTAGGACACCTGGAACTTTGTCGAGGGCTGCAGCAATCTAAAACAGGGATGGTTTCCCCATTAAACCTCCTTGCTAAGATGGACCAGGAAAATGTTCTAGGCAAAGGGCCCCCCGATTCCAGTCGAGGAGGAGGAGGCCCTCCCGGTGGACTCCCAGCCAAGCCCTTGCCTAGGTGCTGGCACACCCACCAGGCGCCAGGAGAGCATCTGCCCAGCAGGCCAAACCCCTCCCTGGGAACCAGAGGGCAGAGGAAGAGACGCTTCCACTTCTCCCGGTGTGGAGGGAAAGGCCGGGTCTCCCAGTCCTACAAGGAAGCTAAGGAAAGTGGTTTACATACAGATGAATCTAATCAGAGTCCAGTCCTCAAAGCCAGGAATGAAACGAGAGAGTCCAGGGAGTCCAAACAATAGGCATTCAATGATCCAACTTGAAGCAATCTGAAGGATTTGGCAGGCGGAGGCGGAGGTGGCAGTAAACAAAAGGGAACCAATTAAAGAGGAGAGAGAGAGAGAGAGAGAAATCTTGTTTATATAGTTCTTAAAAACAGAACTGGACTGGGAAATGGTCCACCTATTCGGTAGCCCCCTCCTCTCAGTATCACAATGAAGGAGATCATCGTAGTGTCAAAAGTGCCAGAAAAAAGTTTGTGTCGTAATTATTGGTTTAACACGGCTTCAAATGGGAGCACCTCTCAGTGGTGAAGAATTTTTGGAAAGTTTGGCAAAAATGGCCACAGAGTAAAAGCACAGCTAAAAGGAGCAGAGAACAACCTGGAGACACAGAAGGAGGACATTGCTCTGTTGTAGAACATCCCACAACTTACTAGAGGCAGTGAGCGGCCTTTCCTAGGAGAGACACTTTCCTCCCTACTGGTGGAGGCTGTGAAACCGCTGGGGAGAAGGTGAGCTTCAAAGGGCCACCTACCCCTCCTCGTTTAACGGCCTTGCAGGAGGAGTTAATGGGGTTCTAAAAACTCTGATTAAAATTTAGGCAAGAGGAATTCAGCGTGATCAGGTGAAAATGTTGTTCCATTGTCTGTTTGCACACTGGGCTATTCCACAAAAATCTACAGGAAAAACCCACCTGGGGCCATTCTGTCTGACTGAGGAGCGAAGCTGGTGGGACCTCAAACCTTGTTGCTGTTTAGCAAAACTGAATGGGAGACAAATGACTTGGGAGCCTAAAGGGTGAATGGTTCTGTTTTAAATGCCTGCCTCAAAAGGCGGAGTTGTGTCAGAAGGGCAGGGCTGATAGAATTTGAAGCGGGAGGCTGAGCGAGCGAGCTGTGGTCTTCATTAAAGTCAGACAAATTAAATGCCTGGCGGGAAAGATCTTGCACCGGGCAGAATAAATTGGAGGAACATACCTATGTAAATGCGCCTTAGTCCTACTCTCCATATTAGGATGCATTAGGAAAAATGGGAGGGGGAGATGGGGGGTTGTGTGACTTTTGTGAGCCTGCTGGACCTCTCATCATGGCTGTTGCCCATGATATCGCAGCCTGGGGTGGCTGAGGGAGTGAGGCTGGAGGTGCCCCTCTGCAGGAGTTCTGCTCCTAACCTTCTGGGCCAGGCGAGGAGGACTTTTGCGGATCCCCCTCAGAATTATGGCCCATAAGCTGCCACGAGGGTCCTGGGCTCCTTCGGACCTGGTCTTCCCGAATAGGATTATGAGCTGGAGCATGTCAGCATACTCAGACACCCATCCAATCAATACCCATGCCAGCTACAGCTTCCCTTTCCTGTAAGGTTGGGGACGGACACCTCCGAACGACTCCAGACTGCCACAGGCTGGATGGGGTAGAACAAACCGAGACCCAAAGACAGGCAAGATCTTCAGTGCTTCCAGACGGGACTTCCAGGTCATTCTCTCCCTTAAGAATCGGGTTCTGGGGTGCTCCTGGATCCAGTCTCAGGGCTGGTCAGCTATGTGACTGCGGCCAGGAGGCCTTTTGACCACCACCAGCAGCAGCAGGTCCAGCCGAGGCCTGAGGCAGAGTTTCTCAACCATGTGGCAACTTTAAGATGTGTGGACTTCAACTCCCACGCTCGGGCATTTTGCTGGCTTAGAGGGCAGCCACAGGAGGTGAGCGGTTCCTCCTCAAGGTGCCAGCGTAATCCCACATTAAAACAATCGACGGTTGTCTTCTGAGCCCAACTCCAGGCGCTCAGGGGGTGGCAAAATGCTTTGCACCTGTTCACTGGAGGACCAGCTTGTCCACCGTCTCCCCAGCACCCTCTGACCACTGGTGGGCCCTTCGTAGGGTGTCTGCTAGGGGCACATTCAGTGCTGACGGTTAATTCTGATTTTTCCACGGCCACATGGTGGGAAAGATAGTGCTGGAACTTATTTATTTATTTATTTATTTATTTAAATGTATTGGCCGCCCGGCTCCAGCGGGCTTAGAATATATTACTTTACTTACTCAGGCCTTTTAACCATTTAAACTGTTTAAAATTTAATTATTTAAAGTGCATTGTTTTATTGCTTTAATAAAGTTTTAAGGTTGTTTTTACTGTAATGGTATTTCTGTGGCTTTAATTGCGTTTCTGCAAGCCGCCCTGACCTGTTAAGGAAATGGGCAGCACGCCAACTTTTAAAATAAATAAATGTGTAAGAAATGTGGCTGGAGCAGATACCGAGCGCCTGAAGAATCTTACCTGCAATTCATCAGTTAAACGTTTCTCGGATGAAGGAAACGGGGCTTTGCTGATGTGCATCTGAAGACAGGATTTTTAAAAATGCTGAATTTAAAGGCTTAAAGTCGCCTCCTGAGCCCTTTGCCTGGGACTCTTATGCCTAAATCCCACCAGACCGTAAGATTTTCGGTCTCTTCCAGTCTCCGAGCAGATGCATCTCCCGTCCCACTTGAGAGGCCAGGATCTGCTCAGTAGTGCTTAGCCTCGGTTCACCTGCGGGCCTTTCGAGCGGATCCTGATTCTCAGACTGTGCACACATCTAGCTGCAAACGGGGCCCTTCAGACGGTCTCTTTCCAGGCAGACAATTCCAAGGTTGGGGCTGGTGACTTCTCAAGAATTGGGGGCCCTGAGTGCTCTCTGAGCTTGCTTGTTTTCTTGCAGACCTTTCACTACCAAACTAGGTAACATCATCAGTGCTCGTCTGATAAGGACACAAGCACTGATGATGC